TCTTGGGCGGCCTCGGGACCCTCTCGGGTCATCTTGGGCTCCTCTGGACTGTTTTGGGAGGCTCCTGCGGCTGCGCAGGGCCCTCTGGAGCCTCACTCGGGACGTCTTGGAACCATCTTAAAAGTTTTGAGCTCCCAGAGGCCCTCTGGGGGCGTATTGAACTCCTCCTGAGGTGTCTTGAGCGCCTTGTAGGGTCCTCCTGAAACGCTTTTGGGTTGTCTCGGTAAGAATTTGAGCTGTTTGGGCTGACTCGGGGGCTCTGAGCAGCGGAATAAACAGAACCCGAAAATCAGACAACATTGATTTACGATATCCACTGATTGTTTAGGCCCAGGGGTCGTGTTAGGGCCCCCTGGGCCCATCTAGGAGGCCCCTTGGCATCAGTTGTAAGCTGTCTAGAGTCGCATTGAGAAAGCGTAACTGCGTGCGTATATCGAATATGTGTATAAACAGATACACACGCAAATACGTATAAACTAGAACCACGCGCGCTTCCCGCGCGCTCAGGTTCTAGCATGCTCTAGTTGTAATATAAAAACGCTCGGTGTCGGAGGACATAGATCGTCACACGGATCGTGCCCCTCAGGGAGCTGCACCTACGGCCCCAGAAACAGGTTTGGCTTAGCGTCCCCCCGCCCATGTCGGCACACTCCTCACAGGGCTCGCGCCCCACAGGGAGCTCCACCTACGTCCCCAGAGACAAGGCTCGTATAGTGGCACGCCCCTCAGGAGGATCGTGCCCCGCAAGCAATTGCATCTGTGGCACCAGAGGGAAGCTTCATAGCGTCGCCCAGCTCACTTCGGCACACCTCTCACACGGATCCTAGCCCACAAAAGGTTCCACGGACAGCCCCAGAGACAAGGTTCGCATTCCGCCCCCCCGCCTAGTTCGGCACACCTCTCACAGAGGTCGCGCCCCACAGGGAGCTCCACCTACGTTCCCAGAGGCAGGGTTCGCACTGCGCACCCCCCCCCCAATTGACCATTGCGACACAAACACGCACACACACACACACACACACACACACACACAATCACGCGGATCGTGCCCACAAGTATCACCGCCTAAAGTCCCAGACATGGTTCGTACAACGCCCCCTCGCCCATGTCCGCACACCCGTCACGCGAACCAGGCCCTGGAAGGAACTCCACCTATAGCACCAATGGACAGCTTCGCTTGGCGTCCCCCCTCCCATTTCGGAACAAACGTAGGCCCAAACCTGGGCCCGGGAAAGCTCGGAGATCGTCCCCAGGACCGTTAAATCATTGAAACAACAAAATGTGTTGCAACACTGTCATTTGTAAGCGTTTTGGAGGTATCAGGGGCAGTTTGGGTGGCCTCTTGGGGGGCATCGTGGAGGCTTCTCGGGGGCAGCGTGGGAACAGGTTTGGGGCCTCTTGGGGGCTTCCCGGTGGCCTCTTGGGCGGCTTTTGGGAGCCTCTTGGGGGACTCTCGGGGCCTCCTGGGGGCCTCTTGGGGCCAAGGCTCGAAATTTGAACTCGGTTGTCCTCCTCTGGGGCCCCTCTTGGGCCTGTCCTGAGGCTCTCTTGGGCAATCTTGGGGGCCTCCTGGGCCGTCTTGGGCCTTTCCTGGGCCGTCCTGGAGCTCTCTCTTGGGGGCCTCCTGGGCCGTCACGAATGCCTCTTAAGCCGTCTGGGACGCTGTGAAAGCCCAAAAGGCGAATATGCTAAAAATATTCGCTGCTTTTCGGGAATGGGACGACTTTTGCCTCTTGGGACCCTCTTGGGGGGACTCCTGGGGGCCTCTTGGGGCGTCTTGAGGCGCCTTGGGGCTGTCGCGGTGTCGTTTGGGGCCGTCCTGGAGCTTGGAGCTCTCATGGGGCGCTTTGGGGGCCTCGGGGCCAGTCGCAGGCTATTTGGGTGGTCTTGGAAGATTATCTCGCTTTCCGGGACCTCCGGGCTCGCTCGGGGAGGTCCCCAGGGAGAAAGGGCACCGAAATACAAGGGGGGGCCGGCCTTGGGCCCCGGGCCTGGAATCTCCCTGACCTGTATATGTGCACATGTGCACACATGCATACACGTATGCATCTAGATATACGTATGCATCAGCATATACATAAACATAAACATATACATACAGATAAACACATACATATACATATGCATATACATATCTATGTATGTATACCGATACATATACATATACACATACGTGGACATAGACATCGGCATATACATAGACATATACATCGACATGCGAATGCAATATACATAAATATACTATATAAATATGTATATATATAAACACCGATACGTATGTATACACAGATATGTATACATATGCATAAACATATACATCTGTCGATACATAAACAGATGCATGCATATATCTAACATATACAAATACATATGCAAATACAGACACATATACCTGGACTATCACATAAACATATATACATATCTGAAGGTATACAGATACCTATACTTATACACAACTGCATATGCATATACAACATGTCCATAAACATACTCATATGCGTATGCACATGCATACACATATACATGTCCGAATACATGTACGTCTACATATACACGAGCATGTCCATACACATACATACATACACGCATGCGCACATACATACATACGTACATAAACACATACATACGTGCATGCATACCTACCTGCATGCATGCATGCATGTATGCATGCATAACTACATGAGTATACGCACGTACGCACATACGAACGCACATACATGCATGCATAAATGCACACATGCAGGCATACATACATACCTACATACAGATCGACATCAATATAAAGACATGCATACACACATACATACGTACATATGTACAAACAGACACACATGCATACGTGCCTGTCTACCTACCAGCATACCTGCATACATTTGTACATGCATACATACATGCATTCATGCATACATGCCGACCTACATACATGTATACGGACATACGCAGAGGTAGTTACATGCAAATCGACACACATACCTTCACATAGACATACAGACATGCATACCTACATGCATACATAAAGCAAATACATACCTACATGCGTACATGAAAACCTGCAGACACCTATATATACATATATCTATACAAATGTAGATGCCAGCGCGCATGCATGCATGCATGCACGCAGACGTAAATACATACACATACACGCATGCACACATTTACGTATGTATACGTGTACACATGCACCTATACATATATCGCTCGTACATGAGGGGCGCCACAAGGGTCCTTCCGAGGCCTACGCGGGCACTCTAGTCAACTCCACGAGAGCCACTGCAGCTCGTCGAATTTCGTACAGATGGCCAGTCCACTCCTCTTGATGGGGCGACGGCGGAAGAGAGACACGTGCAGTGTTATACATGTGGAACGCCATGACTATGGCCTCCACGGCCTCGAGAGTCGGGGCTCCATTGAGCCCGATCCTGGCCAGCACACTATTCGGGGGGTCACGGTCCCTGCATGCATGCATGCATATATATATATATACATACATACATACATGCATACATGCATGTATACACACATACGTGCATGTATGCACGCAAGTATGCATGCATACATGTATACATACACGCATACAGGTATATATATATATATACACATATTCGCACAAACATAACTGTATACTTATAGTCATACATACAAACACAAAGACAGACAGACAGACAGACAGGCAGACATGCATACATGCATGGCATGCGAGCCTATATACCAACACACATATATGCATGCATAAAGACATGCATGCATGCATGCATGCATGCATACATACATACCTCCGTATACACACAAATACATACATGAATAAACACGTGCATGCATGCATGCATACATACACAAATACGTACATCCACACATACCTAGATACATACATACATACACGTATACCTATTCATACATACATGCATACATACATAAATACCGACCGATCGACCGACCGACCGACCGACAGACAGACAGACATACAACCTCTACCGAATGTGTACATACATATAGCGTGAATAGCACAATTCCACCGCACACCACCGAATATGTGCACATGTGTATATACACAGTTGTTCACACAAAGGAACATATACAAATAGTACCTGTACCTGGGTCGAAAATCAGGTGCGTCTTGGATGCCTTTCGGTGCATCTTGAAGCCTCTGTAGGGCCTCGTGAAACCTCAGCAAGGCCTCTTGGGGGCCTCTCGGCGCCTGTTGGGCCTCTTGGGAGCCTCCCAGAGAGTCTTGGGGGCATGTTGGGAGCCCCACACACCCCACGATAGTGCCCCACGACCCCTCTTGGTGTCCTCTTGGGGCTCCCGAGGGGCCCTCTTAAACCTCTCTTGGCCCGTCTTGGGCGTACCTTGGACCGTCTTGGGGCCCTCTTGGCCCATCTTGGGGCCCTCTTGAGCCGTCTTGAAGCTTTCTTGGGCCGTTTCGGATGCTGCGGTGACCCACGGCAGCGAATATGCTAAAAACGCACGCTTTCCTTCAGAAATAAATCGATTTGCGCCTCCTGGAGCCCTCTTGGGGGGCGGGGGGCTCTTGGACCGTCTTCGGGGCATCTTGCCCTTCGGGAGGCCTTCTTGGGGCGTCTTGGAGCGCTCTCGGGGCATCCTGGAGCCCTCTTTGGCTGTCCAGGGCCTCCTGGGCGATTTTGGAGCGCCCTTGTGCGATCACGGAACCCCCAGGGGCCTCCCTGGGAGGCCGTCGGGGGGAGCGGTGGGCCCATCTACAAGGAGGTCCCGGCCCAATGCCCCAGGCCAGGGATCTCTCAGGCCTCCTCCGCCTCCACCTCCTCCTCCTCCTCCTCCTCCTCCTCCTCCTCCTCCTCCTCCTCCTCCTCCTCCTCCTCCTCCTCCTCCTCCTCCTCCTCCTCCTCCTCCTCCTCCTCCTCCTCCTCCTCCTCCCTCCCTCCCTCCCTCCCTCCCTCCCTCCCTCCCTCCCTCCCTCCCTCCCTCCCTCCCTCCCTCCTCCCTCCCTCCCTCCCTCCCTCCCTCCACCTCCTCCTCCCCACCGGGGGGGGGCCTGGCATCTCCGCGGGCTCCAGAACCTAGCCTTAGGTCGAGCATGTCCTCCTACAGGCGGGCTTGGGAAGTAACAAATAATCAAAAATACCATGAAATAGTCAAAAATGCATAAACAAAGACAACAACAAAAAATCGTCCCACCACTACTTTTTACTATTTTTGAATTTTCCTCCTGTAGAGGGACATGCCCGACTTAAACCTCGCCGAGATCGGCGCGTCTCCATGAAGCCTCGGCCCTGGGCATCCCGAGCAGGACGCCGCTGAACCGAAAGGGGGGGATAGCAAAGGGGGGGGTTGAGAATCAGCTCACGTAGCTGATTTTCCCGGCGCCTCCCGGCGCTGGAGGCGGCTACGTATCGAGGAACGGGCCCCTCGGCGAGGCCGAAACCAGCTGCATGCGGCAAATTTCGTAACCCCCCCTTTCCCAATCCCCCCCCTTCGCCCGGCCCGAAGGGTGCGGGCGGGCCCCAGGCGGCGGTGGCGGCGGCGGCTCGCCCCGGCGGCGGCCCGTGAGGCCCGGGCGGCGGCGGCAGCTCGCCGCGAGGGGGCCCCGCGGGGCGGCAACGGCTCCACCGAGTGCCGCGATTCTGGCGGCTACAGGCCGCCAGGGAGGAGCAGGGAGGGCCAGGGAGGAGGAGGGAGGGAGAGAGAGACCCAGACCCCCTCGGGTCGTGAATTACTCACTGCGTGGAGCTCCCCATATGTGCATCCTTTTTTAAAGGTAATATTGTATATGGGTCTACAGGAACACACGTAAAACACCAAGGACTCGTGCCCCAGGAGAGGCCTAATATATAGGAACAAAAGTAAAACAAGTAGGATTGCTTACACAGGAGAAGGACAATATATAGAAACATACGTAGAACATCAAAGAGTCGTGCTCCAGGTGAGGCCCAATCGATAGGAGCATACGTAAAACACATGGGATTGGAGCCACTCCTGTTGCCTTCTGAGGCCTCCTGCTCCTGGGGCCTCTCGGGGCCTCCTGTTGCCTTCCGAGGCCTCCTGGCGCTTCCTGTTGCCTCCTGGGGCCTCCTGTGGTTTCCTGAGGCCTTCTGGAGCTTCCTGGGGCCTCCTGGAGCCTCTTGGGACATCCTGTGGCCTCTTGAGTCTTTCTGTGGCCTCCTGATGCCTCCTGGGACCTCATGTGGTCTCCTGGGGCCTCCTGGAGCCTGTTGGAGCCTCCTGTGGCATCCTGAGAAGAATCTGCGCCCACGAGCCTGGCCACCAAAACAAGCAAACCGATCGAGACATCCTCAAAATCTGGCCCACCTGGGGGGTGAAAATGAGCGCCTCGCTCGAGACATCCTCCAAATCTGCTCCGAAAGCGAAGGATGTTGAGCCCAGAAACAAGCAAACCGCCTGAGACATCCCCACAAAATGGCCGCGAACGAGCCCGTGCAACCACCCCTGGCGGCTCCCCTTAGGGCCACGAGCCTGGCCACCAAAACAAGCAAACCGATCGAGACATCCTCAAAATCTGGCCCACCTGGGGGGTGAAAATGAGCGCCTCGCTCGAGACATCCTCCAAATCTGCTCCGAAAGCGAAGGATGTTGAGCCCAGAAACAAGCAAACCGCCTGAGACATCCCCACAAAATGGCCGCGAACGAGCCCGTGCAACCACCCCTGGCGGCTCCCCTTAGGGCCACGAGCCTGGCCACCAAAACAAGCAAACCGATCGAGACATCCTCAAAATCTGGCCCACCTGGGGGGTGAAAATGAGCGCCTCGCTCGAGACATCCTCCAAATCTGCTCCGAAAGCGAAGGATGTTGGGCCCAGAAACAAGCAAACCGCCTGAGACATCCCCACAAAATGGCCGCGAACGAGCCCGTGCAACCACCCCTGGCGGCTCCCCTTAGGGGTGCTGAAACCAGCGCCCCGCCTGAGACATCCTCACAATCTGCTCTCCAAGCGAAGGATGTTGAGCCCAGAAACAAGCAAACCGCCTGAGACATCCCCACAAAATGGCCGCGAACGAGCCCGTGCAACCACCCCTGGCGGCTCCCCTTAGGGGTGCTGAAACCAGCGCCCCGCTTGAGACATCCTCCAAATCTGATGTGTGTTGAGTAAGTCTGAGTATGAGTAGGTCTGAGTATGAGTATGCCTGAGTATGAGTAAGTCTGTGTATGAGTAAGTCTGTGTATGAGTAAGTCTGGGTATGAGTAGGTCTGTGTATGAGAAAGTTCTGAGTATGAGTAAGTCTGAGTATGAGTAAGTCTGAGTATGAGGAGGGGAGGAGGAAAGAGGAGGAGGAAGGAGGAGTAGGAGGCGTCCAAGTAATAACAAGAACCCCATCGTAGGATATGGGGAAAAAATCACGACGGGAGGTTTTTTACGATTTTCGGCCCCTGGGGGCCCTTACCGGCCCTCGGGACCGTCAAAAAACGACTCGGGATGAAAAACCCGTCCCGGGGAATGGGTCCGGACGTCGGGGGTCTGGGGAAAGAGAGAGATAGGGCGACGAGATCTATGCATGTCCACTGCCCCCTGGCCGGGCCCGTCCTGAACCCAGCGGCGGGGGGTGCACGCCACGCCCCCGCGGCTTGGCCAGGAGAGCGTGCACACAGCACCTGGGTTCAGAACGGGCCTGGCCAAGGAGCATTGGATACGTGTAGATTTCGTCACCCGAAGAGGGATGGGGATAAAAAATGGGAGCGACAGAAACATGAGCAATGAGATTGCAACGAAGGATGAGTAATGAGAAAGAGAGCGGAAGGAAAAAATACATGTGTTTCAAAAACGGCATTGGCAAAACTAGTCCGAATCTGACGAGAATGATAATGATAATGGGGATGGAGACGCTGAAGAGGCAAGCTAGGTGCACTCTCGCGAAATCTGACATCCTACCCTTCCCACTAGTGCCTTTTCCCATCGTGTTGAATCCGTCTCTGTCCGCCTCTTGGGGTCCTAGAACACCTAAGAATAGGAGCTGCAGGATTTGACAAATCGTTTGCTGTGCTGTCGGCAAGATGGGGGAGATGTTTCACACTGTGGAGGAGAAGGAGAAGGAGGAATAAGAGGAGGAAGATGAGGAGGGGATGATCAGCAGCAGCAGCAGGGGGAGAGAGGATGCAAGAAAGAAGGAGGAGGAGGAAGAGGAGAGGAGAAGGAGGAGGAGGAGGAGGAGAAGGAGGAGGAGAAGGCAAAAGAGGAGCAGCAGCAGAATTGATCAGGAGCAGGAGGAGCAGCAGAAGCGGGAGGAGAAGGGGGAGGCGGAAGAAGAGAAGGGAGAGGCCGGCCACGACGAGGAGGCCGTCAGATCCAGAGGCGTGGACGGCGCTGGAATGGGAGCGCCAGTCAGAGCTCGGAGACCTTGACCCGGCGAGTGGCCCGGCAGTGCACAGCCGCTTGCAGCGCAGGGCATGGCCCTCGCCTCGCTCCCCGCGCGAGGTGGGAAGGGGGGGGGGGCTTCGGCGCGCTGCGGCTGGAGAGCTGCCGGGCGGGCGCGCGGAGGCGCGCCGGGAGCTGCCCGCGGGCGCGGCGCGCCCCCCGCAAGGGGGGCGCGTCGAAGTCCGACCGAAGGCTCCCCATCGGGGCTGCGGGTGGAGCTGAGGAGGAGGAGGAGGAGGAGGAGGAGGAGGAGGAGGAGGAGGAGGAGGAGGGAGGAGGAGGAGGAGGAGGAGGAGGAGGAGGAGGAGGAGGAGGGGGAGGAGGAGGAGGAGGAGGAGGAGGAGTGGGAGGAGGAGGAGGAGGAGGAGAGGAGGAGGAGGAGGAGGAGGAGGAGGAGGAGGAGGGAGGAGGAGGAGGAGGAGGAGGAGGAGGAGGAGACCCGATCCCACCTGGCAGGTCATCCGAGGCGCCCACATCGCTAGATGCCCTATCGCCGCGCCAGAGCCCGCGCCCTGGCATCCCGTCGGCAAATAAGGCGGAACCGGCCTGAAGCAAGCCGAATGGCTCGCGATGTGATTTGGGCCCCTTCGGACCTGAGCTTGTTAAACGTGTTTAACAGAACGTCGTGTGCTATGGCAATGGAGACGATTTCATCGCACGAGAGAGGCATAGAAAAAAAGAAGGAGCCCAGCAAACACCTCCGCCCCCCACCATGGTGGGAGCCTAGGCAGATTGGCACGCATCACTCCGAGAAGAGCAGGACAGACAAGGTAATGCACGATCTGGTCACCAGCAATACATTGACATCCAAACCTGCATCCTAGCGTGGCCTGGCGGTATCTCCGAGAGGTATTCCAAGCGTTGCATATACTGCGCAGCAGACTGAGTTGAACAAAGGGAGCAATGTGCTGGCCGACCACTTTTAGCCGAGAGAAACACAGTTGGGCTTCAGGAGCCCCGACTTGGCCAGCTTCAGGAAACCTCGAGGCCCAGTACTGGAGACGTCTCAGGATAAGCTCTGGAAAAGGGACCAGGGGTTGAAGTGCGAGCACAAGCTTGGTCATTTTCTTCTGAAGCCCGTGCTCGAAGACGGCGGGGGCGGACGGGATTCGGGATAACTCACGATAGTTCTGGTTCATCATTAAAACGAAAGAATTGGTATAAACGGGATGAAGATGAGCGTCCAGATGGCATTCGGGGTCATCGAACGCGTCCTCGATTTTCTCGATGCAGGCGAAAAAGACGCAAGAGGCGAGGGTAGCACGATATGCAGCGGCACGAGCTTCGTGTGTGAGAGACCTGGCCCGAGATAGTTTCCCCCCAAAAGACTTCATTCCCACCAGCATATGATCAGACAAGGCATGCCGAGGAACACATGTTAGCGACTGTAGCCCGAGATGCACCTGCCAGCTGCAATCGGCCGCGGGCGGAAAGAACTGGGCAATGTACATGAGCACAGTGACTGCGATCTGGTTGTACGCCACGAGAGACATCGACAGGCCTAACTTCAAAGACTTAATGAATCGGCAGCGGTCGCGGAACTTGACCAGTGGGGCGGCCCAAGAATCCCCCTGGGCTCTGATCCCGCACATCACACCAAGATACTTGGCACACTTAGACATCCCGAAGCTCCGAACTCTGATCCCCTGCCGTTGGAACTTCCTCTCCTCCTCCTCCCTGTTAATGTCGCGGTAAAATGATATCACCGTTTTCTGAGGTTCGGGACGAGGCCCGCGGCGAGCCCTGCAATCATCATAACTTTCATGAAAATGGGCACGGCCGTGTAGATGTCAAAGGCGGCGGAGGCAACATCGTCGGCGAAGGCACCGTGCAAATGGACAGGTCGGGGCAGCCGAAGACAGAGCAAGTGTAAAATCGGGTCGAACCCCAGGGCGAACACGCTTCCCGAGAGTGGACATCCTTGCTTTATCCCGCGGAGGATCCGAAAAGAGCAGTGAGACGCCCCGCCCAGGAGAATGGTGGTGGTAACCTTGGCGTAGAGCGTCTTTATTGCATCCAGTACAAACTCGGGAAAGTTCATTTTCTCGAACACGAGAAATATCCAATCATGGCATAAACTGGGGAAGGCGGCCTTAATGTCCAGCAGGGTAGCGCCTGCAGTCTGCCGCCATAAAAGACCTGCTCCTACGACCATGTGTGTCTCGAACTCAATCAGATTGTCAAGCATGTAACGGTGTTTGACGAAGCCCCCTTGTACCCCAATAGCGGCGTCCACGCAAACCTCTTTCAGGCGGCAGTTGATCGCGACAGCGACAATTTTGTTGATCGAGTTGGAGAGGGAGATGGGACGGGCCATTTCAGGGGTCCTCCAGAGCTCGAAACCGCCGCGGTCCAGGGAACCTCTGGGGAGGAAGACCGAGTTGCTGAGGTTGAAATCGTCTGGAACCTGGCCGAAATCCACGATGCGCTGGCACATGGCGCAGGCGGCCCACCTAACAAATAAGTTCCCTTTGGACCAGGCAGAGTAACATAGCCCGTCAGGGCCAAGGGCGGAATCGCGAAGCCGATCCAAAACTCCGTAAAACTGTTCTTCAGAGAGCCTCCAAATCTGAGCCTCCCTCACTTTTTGAATATGTTCCTCCAGCTGGTCCCTCGCGGCAAATTGAGATGAAGCAGAGGCGTGAACTTGACTCCAAGGAGCGGCTAGAGCATGAGCCCCAGCCTCAGCAGTCGGGAAAGCGCCCCCCTCGGCATCCGCGATGCCCGTGAGGAATATTCTCCGGTTCTTCGGCGACCAGGCCGATACCAATCTCTGAAGACGCGCAGCTCGGTGCTCATAAAACTGGGGGGTCCCGTGGTATGTCCAATGATTTCCCCATATTCTTTTTGGTACCGAGCGGCAGCAATCTTGGCCATATACTCTTGAAAGGCTGACTGGTTGCGCCACGTGCCACAGTCTGGGTCGAGAAAGTTGAGCAGCGCAGGGGATGGCCTTGACAGCCTTCTTCAGCGTGCTTATCTTGTGGCTCCGCATGGCGCGATTCACCGCGAACAGCCACTGCAAATGCTGGCGATGCTGGACGAGACGTCCTGCTTCGTGCATTAGGCACGCGAGCTCTTCAACCATCAGCGGCGGATTATCTTCGCATACCCCGTGCTCGTTGATCAGCTTTTCAAGCAGGATCGGATACAGAGGGTGACGAGAGACCCACGAGGCGACGGCCCGAGCGCGGTTGCCTCCGCCTCCGTTCAGATGCAGGTACACCGGGGCGCGGTCACTCGGGAGGTCGGTTTTACAAATATTCCAGGAGGTCCCAGAGGTCGGTTTCAAATCCAAGATATCCCAAAAAAACATATTGGTATAAATACGGTCGATCCTGGATACACTAACCACATTCCCATTCCGAGTGGTGTGGTGGGTCGGGTTCTCTTGGTAGCATTCCATAACGTTAGGCAATAGCGACCAGAACTTATGGGCGAGGGAGTCGGGGCTGTTGATCTGCACAGAGCCGTCTACTCGCTGGGCACCCTCGCCCAGCTCGCAAAAGTTGAAGTCTCCAACAGAGAAGAAGAGGCCCTGGACAGTGTGCAAAAAATCGGCGCCTAAGCGAAGGATCCTTATTTTCTCTCTGTGGCGGCAGCTCGGGTCGAGATGGAAGTTCAAGATGGTAAGCGAGAAAGAGTCGGACTGGATGGTGACGGCATGGAGACGCCCAGGAATAATCACATTGTGTTGATGTTGAGGAAGCAGAGCGAGAAGAGAGCGAGCGAGCATGATCGCGTTCCCGCCAGCGTGACTGTCGGGACAGAACGTACAGAAAGATTCATAGCCAGGGAACTCGGTACGCAACGACTCGCGATCCCCTTCATGGCCGTGCGTTTCTTGCAAGCATATGATATTGTTTGCTCTAGTTAGGTTAGTGAGTCGATCGAAGGTCTTGACCTGAGTTTCGTGGTCCCCAGAGACCGCGCCGAACAGGGCATGACAGTTCCAAGTAGCAATCCGAATACCTCGACCGTTGGCCAGGGATGGCGGAAAAGAGAGGCGAGAACTGGCTGGGTTCTCAGGCGAAGGTGGCTGGGCTCCGAATTCAGCATTCGACAGAGAAGGCGAACAAAGATCAGAAGACTCGGGCGACAGAGGCAGCGAGGCAACGGGAGAAGGCAGAAAATTAACACACGAAACTAGGCTGGCATCACTTCAGCACTGCTGGACGGAGGCCTGGGCCTGCTCGACCATCCAGTTGGCGGTCGTCTCGGTGATGCTCCACTCGGAGAGCTGGTCGCTAATCGGCTTCAGCTCGTACATGCCTCCAGGAGCGCCGGTCAGCTTGAAGATCTCCCAGTGGTCGTTCTCGGTGGTGATACTGAACACGCCTTTGAACGGGTTGGTGCCGATCTTGATTGACGGGCTCCACTTCGCTGTGTTCTCGAGGTGCTTGCGGACGAGCGGCCAGAGGGCGCTCAGGACGCGGTTCTTCTGGCGGGCCTGCAGCGGCATATCCCTGCGGCATCGCAGTGGATGAAGGGAGGTGTTGCGGTAGTCCTGCCATGTCACGGGGTTCGCGAGGAACCAGTCATGGAAGTCGCGGGCCTTCTGCTCAGAGTTGAAGGTGACGGCGAACGCTTGAGATACTTTGTGGAAACGACCTGTCATCCCTTCGCTGATGGCGGCAGGAAGTCGGCTTTTCATCTGGTTGAAGACTGTGCGCCTATACGGCTCAGTGACTGGGCGAGGAAAACCGCTGATCCACCGTCTGGTAGGGTCGATCTGGTTGTGCTCGTCGTTGGCGAGATCGATCACTGGAATCTCGGAAGCGCTGGAGCCAGCACTGGTGCCCCTTCCTAAGCGACGAGACTTGGATGGCGGCCGAGTTGAAGCGGGGCCTGCATCGGACGGAGCTCGCTGTAGTTCGGCGAGGGACGCTGCGAGCCTGGCCATCTTCTCATTCATCTGACGTTGAATCTCGAGCCCTGCGTTTTTGGCGGTGGGGTTGCCGTCCTCGGTGTCAAAGAAGGCGGCGTTGGTGGCGGCTTCTTGATGGGCATGCTCGAGTCGAGATACTCGTAGGTCCATGTCGAGAACGAGGGCTTGGTGGGCTTTCTTAGTTTCTTCGAACTTGTCCTCCATGGCGAGCTCGAGATCGGAAATATTCTCCTCCAGTCCTTCAGCAACGGCGAGACGTTTTTTTACATTTTTGATGTCGTCCCTCATGGCGCTCATGCCGCCGTTCATCCCTTCTAGAACTTGGAGCAACTGAGCATTGGATACCTCGGCAGCGGCCATTGCACTGCCAGGAAACGAGACAAGAGTCTGGAGAGACAAACTGGGTGGCAAAATGCCTCAGTGCGCGAAAAAGGGTCAACCCCCGACCCTTGTGTCGCGGGCCGAGTCGGGAGCAGCCCTGCTCTGACCTGGCCAGCTGCCTTGAGGATATGGCAACTTGAGCCAAAATGGCTACGGAAGAGGAGGAGGAGGAGGAGGAGGAGGAGGAGGAGGAGGAGGGAGGAGGAGGAGGAGGAGGAGGAGGAGGAGGAGGGAGGAGGAGGAGCGGGGGGCCCGCGCGCGGGCGCACCAGGAGGGATGGCCACCCCCCGAGGCAGGGGCGCGCCCCGCGAGGGGGCGCGCCAAGCATGGGCGGGGCGCGGCAGGCGTCGGCGCCCACGGAGGCCGCGGAGCGGGTGGGCGCCGTGGAGGCACGGAGCGGGTGGGCGTGCACCGCAGATGGGCGAGCGTGGGCGCCCTCCGGAGGCCGCAGCGTGGGGCAAGGATGCGCGCGAGGGGCTCCTCCTCCCTCCTCCTCCTCCTCCTCCTCCTCCTCCTCCTCCTCCTCCTTCCTCCTCCTCCTCCCTCTCTCCTCCTCCTCCTCCTCCTCCTCCTCCTCCACTCCTCCTCCTCCTCCTCCCTCCTCCTCCTCCTCCTCCTCCTCCTCCTCCGCCGAAGTGGGCGGGGGGGGACATGGAGCTCCTGCACCAGAGCTCCCTATCAGGCACGATCTGCGTCGTGAGTGCACCGAAGCAGGCGCGATGCGGCATCAGACGAGCTGTGGGCCACGAGCTGCGGGAGGGGAACGCCGAAGTGCGAGGGGGCGGCATGCGAGCTCGCCCACGGGGACCATAGGCGGAGCTGCCTGCGCCGAAATGAGCGGGGGGGCGACTACGAATTCCTTCACTGGTGTCTGGGTGGGGGAGGGCAATTGGTGGACGGCATGCGCATTCCCACATTGGGGCCAAATGTGGAACCCGCGGGAGGGAAGGTGGGAGGGGGAAGGGAGGGAAAAGGTGAGGGGCGGGCGGGGGGACGGGGAGGGGGAAGAGGGAAGGGCCGGCTCACGCCGCGTAGGCCGCGCACGCCAGGCCGCGCCCGAAGCCGTACCCCTCGAGGCCCGGGGGTCCCATCGCGTACCTCGGGGGAGGAGGTCGGGATGACATCGAGTGTTGAGGATCCTCCTCCCCCTCGTCCTCCTCCTCCTCCTTCTCCTCCTCCTCCTCCTCCTCTTCCTCCTCCTCCATCATCATCATCATCATCGTCGTCGTCGTCGTCGTCGTCATCATCATCATCATCATCTCATCATCATCATCATCATCACCACCACCACCACCACCACCACCACCACCACCATCATCATCATCATCATCATCATCATCATCATCATCATCATCATCCCCCTCCTCCTCCTCATCCTCCTCCTTCCCCTTATCCTTCTCCTCCATGACCCTTATGAATTACTAGTTGTCCCTTATGAATTACTCATCCCTGTCGCACCCCCAGCCGTGTCGGTAGGGCGGACCGGGCGATTATTCTGAGATTTCCTCACCATTCATGAAACTGAAACTTGACATGTGCAACAGTTTCACGGATGGAGGGCGGCCCGTTTTGAAAATGTGGCTCTCGCTTTAGCGCACATGCAGTGTTGAGGATGGGGAACAGGTGGTTTTCAAAATGTGGTTCTCGCCTCAGCGCCGCACACATTTGTCTTCAAAGTTTGCATCAGCTCCACAGACTGGGGGCGGCTTCTTTCCAAAATGTTATTATTGCCCAAGCGCCGCGCACATTCGTCTCGAAAGTTTGCTACAGCTTCAAGGACTTGTATGGCTGAAGTCCCAGGGGTGGCCTTCTGCCAGGGCTTTGGACTGTCGGGGCGCAACAGTATGTTGATTCGCGGTGTTGAAGTCCCAGGAACGGTGTTCTGGCGTTCTGGCGCGAGTGTCAGGACGCAATAGTCGCCTTGACACTATCGCAACGGAAGTGCTCTAGAGTGGCCGGCGGGGCTAACGTCACCACATTCAAGGGGAGGAAGAGGAAGAGGAAGAAGGAGGAGGAGGCGGGGAAGGAAGCATACCAACACACTCGGAGCAACACTGAAGCCAACCTGCCATCAAAATTTAGAAATTCCATGAATCACCACGTAAGCTCTGAACATCCTAAGTAAACAAGCAAAAGCACCGCTCTAGCGCGGGTCGAAAGAGAACGCGAGGCCTCAGAGAGGCCTGTCAAAATAAGAAAGAGCAACGTTCGAGTGCGACGAAACCAAGCGCCGCCAGCGCGAGAACAACACGAAGTCAGGAAATGAGAGAAGAGCGGCGAAGCAAACTAGCGAGGCTTCGTGAAACAGTTGCCCAGAATGCGAATCGAATTCGGGTGGCTTCTCACGGCCCCCCTGAGGACACCGCGAAACGTGTTCTCTGCCTCCTCGCGCGGGAGACCGCGCCTTACCGCAGCGCGTGCGCGGTGGAGGGCGTACACTGCGAGTGCCTTCGGGGCGCTCCTACCCACGGCGGGAAGCGCCCGATGTCCCCCAAGACTCGAGGCTGCAGGAGCCCAGCCCAGCAAAGATTTCAAGACGCCGTGCCGCGGGGGCGGGGGGACGCAACGAAGGCCCAGGGACCTGGAGCAGCACGCGGGGCATCGAGGGCAGGCAGCACAATGCTCTATAGCGCCCTCCCCTGCGCAGCCTGGACAGAAAGCAGCAGAACCCTGAAAGCGCTCAGCAGTGGCCCACCCATTCAGAGCGGTGCGGAGGGCAACTGCCACTACGCGGGGTGCTTCTTGATCTCTCAGTTGCCGAGTGGCCGCCAGCCAGTGGCCCACCCTCCAGCCCGCAGGGACGTCGACGCGCCAGCCTTCGAGCCGACCTCGAAGTTGGCTGCGGGCCGCTGGGCCGAAGCACAGTCGCAATGCTCGGGAAGCCCGTGCCAGCCAGCCCGTACGTTCCTCCTGGAGCAGGTCGCTGTCGGCGGCGCCCGCAACTGCTGCTGTCGCCGCCGTCAGCGAGAAGAGAAAGCAGCTGTCATACCACGCCTTGAAATAGATACATCGATCTGCTGCCTCGTTCGTCGCCGTGGCGAGTCGTCTGAGCGCGGTCGCCCTCGCGTCCGCACGGAGGCCCACATGCCGGGCATTCTCGAAGGCGCCTGGGCGAGCCCGCGCCGCGGTCGCAGTGGACGCGACGTCGCAGAGCTCCTGGGGAAAGCCCAGCACGGAGAGGTCTTGCAGCAGCTCGGGCGAGATCCACCACATGGGGCCAGGGAAGAGGCGCCTCAGCGTCTTAGCCTCCAGCTCCGCGAAGTTGGGCGGGAGCGGGTCAAGTTGACCACAGAGTAGAAGAGACGGGGCCACGAGGATTCGATGGGCCTCGATTGCGTTGAGCATGCCGACGTGCAGGGCCCTCCAAATCTCGGCCCGATCTTGAAATTTACGCAATGCCGCCGTCCACGTACTTTGACCCCTCCCTGGCCCGATTATGAATCCCAAATATCTGGCACTGAACGCAACCTCCAACGCACCCCAAAGGGGGGTCACCTCGCAGAGGCCGGCTCGGGCCGCTTCGGTGGAGGTGGAGGAGAGGAGGAAGAACACTGTCTTGCGTGTCTTGCGGAAGTTGAGCGCCAACCCGGCCACGCGCTCGAAATCCGCGAGGATGCCCTCCAACGCCGGCGGCACACAGTGCCAATTGTCCTTGTCCACTACAGCGATGTCGTCGGAGCATGCCCGCAGCGTGCACTCGGGGCGGAGGTGAACCGCACGGCGGAGCAGGACGTGTGCGGGGCCGCACGGATCGTCCAGAACGGCCGCTGGAGAGCCGAGTGAGGACCCGAAGCCCAAGCAGCCAGGGCCATTGGGGAGGGGATAGCCATTTTGGCCCGAACCCTGTGCGAGCTGGGCACCGCGACCGCGGGGGCCGCGACGCGGCGCCCACTACTATTACTACTGCTGCTACTACTACTAACTACTACTACTACTACTACTACTACTACTACTACTACTGCTACTACTACTACTACTACTACTACTACTACTACTACTACTACTACTCCTACTACTACTCCTACTACTACTCCTACTCCTACTACTACTACTACTAC